TCTTGAGGCTAAGCGATCCAGAGGAGAGGGCCTCCTCGTACTTGGCTTGGTCAAACTCCACGATGAGAGTTTCGACAGGTGTACCCATGAGGTGGATATCGGATTGCGCCACCATTTCTTCGTCAGAGAAGCTATTCCCCAGCGGAGTCGCCATCTTTTATTTGTGAAAATTTTATAGTAAGTAAAATGAAAGAAAATGAATTTATATTCTCTCGATCTTAATTACAATTTGAATTCCCGATTACAAAAGAGAGGAGAATGATCTGGATTCACCCCCTTTGTTTAATTCTGGGTTCTTCACGGTAGCGATAGAGTGACTCCTTCGAATGCTTGTGTCGAATTTGCTCTCCGTTGACGATCCGACTATCTTATCTCGTAAGAAAAACTAACTTGTATGGCAAGTTTGATGGATAACTCTTAACGAGTTTAATAACTCAGAACGAGTTAAAACTCTGTGAAAAAAGAGTTGTTAAAATCGAATAATCGGTTAATATGCCAAATAGATTTGTTTGTTGCTGAAGTTAAAGATGCCAATCTCCTCCAAGATCCATCCTTAGCTACTAATGAGTGCACCCAAAACTGAGTTGAACTGCCTTGGAGCTGTTGATATCAAGAAGATCCTCAAAAATCCGATCTTCGGCCCAGGGAACTAACTCGACCCTTTATTGTTGAGGTTTTATAGGAGGATAAGGAGTTGTAACTGCCCCCCCTTAATCCACTCCTAAGTGGGCGTGATTCCCTCAGATCGTGGGGAAAATGGTTTTGAAACCATTCGACTCATGTTTGAATTTGTCAAACGCCCAATTTGGCGTTCAGGACCCTAACTCCACGTCTTAGAATTAAGATGCGGAGTTGGGTGTTGATCGAACGTCAAAAACGCGAGGGCCACTCGTGTTTTGCTTGTTGCAGCTTAGAAACGCGGGGGTCGCCTGCGTTTCAAGAATTGTAATGCGGGGGTCCCCTTCACCAGCAAAGGCTCTTTCCTCGGCTCTAACCTCTTCTCGGGGTGCCTTGGCCTCCTCTTCTGGAGTCGAGTCATCCACAAGGATGACGTTAATCTTGACCAACTCGGCCACCGTCCGAGGTACTTGCTCCTCATCCCTCTGCGGCCTCCTCCTTACTTATGAAGCAGAAGGTTGTTCCTCGGTCATCTCAGCCTCCATTGGGAGTAAGTCACGGCGGAGACGCTTTTCAGGCCTTGCTGATGGCCCTTCCTAGGGGTCGGCCAGGGAAGCGAATGGTGCCATCGTCGCTTTCGCCAATCCTAATTTCAGGGCTGAAGCCCTCTCTTGGACCTTGACAAAGGGAGGCACGACAGATACATTGGTGACCTGAAAGACCGAGTTATCAAGCAGGTGCTCAACTCGGCGAGAGCCAGCATACACCTTGATTTGATCGAATGCATCCCTCTCAGCATCAAGCAGGTCACCTGCTATTAGCGCTTCCCTCCTTATCTCAGGCTAGTTTGAGCAGCCTAGGTCTAAGTCATCCCCTACTACCCAGACAAACTTATCCTTCCGATCCTTATTTGGTTAGAAAGACAGGTGATGAGCTTGTACTCCCCCCACTATCTGGAAATGGAAATTGGGCTCGGTCTGGTTCACTTTAACACTCACCAAATAGCCCAAGACTTGCAGAGATGGCTTTATTTCAAACCAATGGAAAATCACCACGAACCCCACCATGGTTGCGATGGCGTTCGGCTTCATCTGGGTCGCTGATACCCCTAGAGTTGTGAAAACTTGTTGAAGAAAAGGGTGCAAGGGCAGCTGTAGGCTAAACTCCAAGTGCTTCAAGTAAAGTGGAGCTCAATCTGGTCCATGATCATAGACTGCCTCCGACCTCGTCGGGGCCATCAGCTCATACTCTCAGGGAATATCAAACCTCCTGTGGAGCTTCCTCATCTGTGACTAGGTCACCTTGGAGTGGAACTCCGTCAGAAGAGCTCATCGATCTACAAGATCTGTTGCCATCATAGAAGAAGTAATCACCGGAAAAAGATAGGCGGGAAGGATCTCGAGTTCTCAGAAGGGAATTTCAAAATACAATAACTGCCATCTCCATGGACTTGGCTTTATTTATAGGCTGCTAAATCCGCAGCTGCCGAAATCTGAACGACCGGATCAATCTTTGGCCAACGACCAAGATTAATTCTCAGAATTTAAAGCAGTATCTCTAGGATCGAGGCGCAGCCTACTAACCTCGAATAACCCACAATCCAGCGTGAAAAGCAAAATCGTGGCAGTCAAAAAGAATGTGTGGTGACGTCAACCATGTAAAATCTGAAAAGACTTTTCAGTTCCCTCATTTAATGCACACCCATGTCTGTCTAGAGCTACTCTCATTTCACTCGGACCCGGCCCAAGCCGACACCAAGCGAAAGGGGCCAACTATTATGGTGTTTATAGTCACCAAAGTATGGTCCTTTGCCAGCAACGAACAAGTATCCCCCTACATGCACTGGTCAAATCAAATTGATGGTCAGGACCACCATGAATCCTGACTTAGACAACTTGCCGAGTTGATATCTCCTTAGATCGACTCGAAGGGCAGTACTTGTCAGTCCTCTTGTCAAAGGCGACTCTTACGAGCCCACTCGACCACTTATTCGATACCTTGTAGGGTCGACTCGAAAGACGTCACTTCTCGACACCCCTCGCTACAAGCCAGAGGATCACTTCAACCTCGAGCCTCCCCCACTAACAACGTGTTGGCGTCACATTAAATGCTTACCGAGTGCAATCATTCCTCTATCCCCAATAGTCTTTATGACTCATCGGACTACGTCGGCACTGTCATGCCCTCAATCACATCACATTAAATACTGAGGTGACCTCTCCTCCACTTGTCGACTGACACCTGTAAAGCAGATGTTGATGTGGACCGCCTTCCTATACTCGGTCGGAATTACCATTCTACTCTTTTACCACCACTATAAATAGGAGTACTATTCTCAATAATAGGAGGGGCAATCTTAAGAAATTTCTCAGCATTCTTCTCCACTCCACTGCACTTTAGAACTCACACAGTTCATTACTTTCCCACTCAACCCCCTCACTGACTTGATCGTCGGAGGAACAACGGTGGATCTCGTCCCCGTCCTCTTATGAGCTGTTATTTGTGCAGGGAGAAGCTACCTAACTCAAAACTAGACATTCGAAGAAGTTAGTGGCCCCTAATCAACCTCACCCCCATTATATTATATGTGTGATTATTTACGTCAACAAATTATTATGGAATAAGTAAAGCTGAAATAAACTTAAGTTGTTTGAGAGCTTTATTCACGAACCTTTTTATCAACTAAATTTACTTTAAAATTTGTATTGATATGTGAAACACATTAAGACTATCTTTAAAATATGTGTATTAATTTATGTCACATGCCAACACGTATCTTAGGTGTTGTTTGGTTCAATTTCTATAAAAAAAGGAAAAAGAAAAGTACTCAAAAATTGATTTCCTTATATTTCTATAAAATTCGTAGGAAAAATTTATAGAACTCAAAGAGTACCATATTTTTTATTTTTTTCTATTTCTTTGTTTGGTTCAAAGTATGAAAAAGTTCCTAACTTTATAAAAAATATGTTGTTTTCTTTTTCTTTTGTTTGGTTGTATATCACTTTATAGAAAATAGCTTACTAACAATGTCCATGAGAAATCACATGGGAATGATACTTGTGTACTAAATTAATTTTTTAATATATGCGTCGGATTTCCTTGTAATTTTTGTCCATTTAGAGAGGAAGTTGATTTCTATAAAATAGTACATTTCCCCCTACTTTATAGAAAATATTTCTATAATTTTTTTGGAACCAAACACAGTTTATAGAAATCTACAGAAATCTTTTATTTACAATAACGTCATTGTTAGGTGTTTTCTCAAAACTTTTTCATGAAATAGGTGAACCAAACAGCCCCTTAAGAGCATATCCAACGGAGAGACTATTTGATGCGAAAACCCAATTTGACGCGATTTTATCCCTCCAACCCAAATCTAAAACTCACGCTATTTTGTGTAGCTTTGGTGCAACATTTTTTTTTTTGCTTTTTATTTTTAGCCTTTTAATTTTTTTAATTATTTAGATAAAAATAATAATACAACATAACTTAGCACATAATTCATAAAATATCCCTTTTATTACACAATATTTTATGTTGTATTATTATTTTCTATAATAATAAATTTATGTGCTAATTCATAAAATATATGTGCTAATTCATAATAAATTTATATTATTTTTATAATAAATAATAATACAACATAAACTAATATTTTAATAATATATTTTATAATAATAAATTTATGTTGTATTATAATAAAAAATACACATAAATTTATGAAAGTAATATTTTAACTTGATTAAGCATTACTTTTATATTTTTATTTTATTCATAAAATATATTATTATAATTAAAAATACACATAAATTTATGAAAGTAATATTTTAACTTGATTAAGCATTACTTTTATATTTTTATTTTATTCATAAAATATATTATTATAATTAATTATACGTAATGTATTATATAATTATATAATATATAATTTGTTAAATATTTTAAATAGATAAAAATTTTTGAAGATAAGAATCATAAAAAGAATATTCTTTTTTTTGTAAAATTTGATGTTGGAGATGAACTAGTGATTTGATGTAAAAACTACACTAATTTTGTGTAAAAACTACACTATTTTAGGTTTTTTGGTTAGAGATGCTCTTAAGTAACTCAAATAGATTAAAAAACCGGTGGACAAAAACTCTTACCGACTTAAGTTTATAAAGCTTCCTAAAACATGTATCATTCTTATCTATACACCAATTTTAATACCCAGCTGGTAGTTAGCTAATATCAAAATAACCCTACAAATTATTGTAAAAAGTTTTCGAAGAAAAAACAACGGAAAGCAGTTAGAAAAAAAAAGAGGGTCGCTGTAGTTAAGAACTGTTGTGTACTAGAATAAGAGAATAAAGAATTAAGCCATAAACAAAGTCTGCAGCCCCTCTGTGCACCTAAAACGGCAGCAGTAGGTCTCTTCTGCCTCTGCCTCAATTACCCACCAAACTCCCCACTCACTTCCCACTCCTCAGTCCCCACTCTCATCTAAAACCCAAAGAAGAGCTGTCCACTAACAAGCCTCAACTTTCATGGTGATGGCCAGTAACTTCCTCCTCTTCTTCCTCCTCCTCTCTCTTCTCTCAACTTCTTCCTCCTCCTCCTCTTCCTCCTCAGACAAAGACCTGCTCCTCACCTTCAAATCCTCTCTCACTGACCCCATCTCCTCTCTCTCCAGCTGGTCCCACTCCACCCCTCTCTGCAACTGGCTTGGCGTTTCTTGCTCCAAACTCTCCCCTCCTACAATTTTCTCTGTAGACCTCCAATCCCTTAAACTCTCTGGTGATATCTCACCTTCTCTCTGCCAACTCTCCAGTCTCTCTCACCTCAATCTTGCCCATAACCTCTTTAACAATTCCATCCCCCTTCACCTCTCCCAGTGCACTTCTTTGCTCTACCTCAACCTCAGCAACAATCTCCTATGGGGAACTCTCCCTGACCAAATCTCGCAGCTCTCTTCTTTGACTGCCCTTGATCTCAGCAACAATCACATTGAGGGTCAGCTTCCTTTGGCCTTGGGATCACTTGGGTCTCTTCAAGTTCTCAACTTGGGCACCAATGTGTTCTCAGGTACCCTGCACCCTTCTCTGTTTAATAATTTGAGCGGGTTGGTTCAGCTCGATTTGTCTCAGAATCCTTCAATGAGTTCAGTGCTTCCTGATGAGATTGGGAGTTTGAAGAAATTGAAGTGGCTTCTTATGCAAAGCTCTGGGCTTTATGGGAATATCCCTGATTCCCTTCTGGGTTTGGATCAGATTGAAGTTCTTGATCTTTCTCAGAACAATTTAACTGGAAAACTGCCTCCTGGGTTTGGGTTGGAGCTTGGGAAGTTAGTGTCTTTGGATTTGTCTCAGAACAAGCTATCTGGGCCTTTTCCAGGTGATGTCTGCTATGGGAAAGCTCTTGTCGAGGTTAGTCTTTCTCAAAATTTCTTTGCTGGTTCAGTGCCTAAAGCTATTGAGCAATGCCTGAGCCTTGAGAGGTTTGAAGTGCATAGCAATGAGTTTTCAGGAGAATTCCCATCTGGGTTGTGGTCATTGCCTAAGGTTAGGGTCATTAGGGCTGAGAACAATCAGTTTTCGGGGGAGATACCAGAATCAGTTGCAGTTCCTCTAGAGCAAGTTCAGATAGATAATAATAGTTTCTCAGGGAAAATTCCTCTAGCTCTGGGTAAAATTAACACAATGTACAGGTTCTCTGCATCTCGCAATGGTCTTTATGGCAATTTGCCTGATAATATCTTTGATTCTCCCGCACTGAGTATCATCAACTTGTCACGTAATTCTCTCTCAGGTTCGATTCCAGAACTTAAGAACTGCAAAAGATTGGTGTCTTTATCTCTGGCTGGCAACAGTTTTACCGGAAATATTCCTAGTTCTCTTGCAGAATTGCCAGTATTGACCTACATTGATCTCTCTAGCAACAATCTTAGTGGCGAGATACCTCAAGGTCTGCAGAATTTGAAGCTTGCACTGTTTAATGTATCATTTAACCAGTTATCGGGTTTGGTTCCTGCATCCTTGACTGCTGGTTTCCCGGCCTCATTCTTACAAGGAAACCCTGATCTTTGTGGGCCTGGACTTCCCAAGCAGTGCAACGATAGGGAAAAGGGTCCGAGATCTCGAACTAAAGGATTGATCATTGCATTGGCTACGATAGCCTTTGCGGTTGCATTCATATTGTTGGCTTTTGGAATTTTTGTAGCATATAGATTGTATCAGAGGAAATCCTGTTCTAGTTGCTTGAAGTCAGTGTTCTTTTATCCGTTGAAAATTACCGGAGACGAACTTATGATGTCTTTAGATGAGAAGAGCAACATTGGAAGAGGTCCATTTGGTAAAGTGCATTTATTTCAACTACCCAATGGGCAATTTGTGGTGTTGAAGAGGCTAGTAAACTCTCAGAGTTTGTCTTATAAAAAACTGAAGGGAGAGATAAAGACCTTGGCCAAAGCCAGGCACAAAAGCTTAGCCAAATTATTGGGATTTTGCTACTCAGAAGGTGAGATTCTTCTCATCTATGAATACTACCACAAGGGCAGCTTAGGAGATGCTCTTTCGAGTTCAATCATTAAGTTGAACTGGAAAGTCCGATGCCAAATAGCTTTAGGAACTGCTCGAGGACTAGCTTATCTTCACAAAGATTATGTCCCCAGTTTACTTCATCGGAACTTGAAGTCGAATAACATTCTTCTTGATGAAGACTTTGAGCCAAAAGTCACTGATATTGGTCTTGATCGTGTAGTAGGAGAGACCTCATTTCAGTCATCCATAGCTTCTGAATTGAACTCATGCTGCATTATAGCACCAGGTATATAATTCATCTTTACTCAGTTTAATTGGTAATGCAGTATAAGCTAAAACATTTATTATTTCTCATACCTGCTGGGTGTGTTCATTGAATAGCTAAAGTTCACATCGTATAGTGTTTCTCAGTTGGCATGTGTACTAAATATGTGGGCTTTGTTTTTCTTTTTTAACTAGTCCCTGTGACTAAATTATTCATTTCCAAAATTTATTACAGTTAAAAGTAAAATTTTCACGACTCATGATTAAATTGACGTAAGAAACAGCTCATTGTAAAAAGAAATCTTAGCTTAATCTTCAGGCATCATTCAGGTTCCTTACGAATTCAATCACAGGTGTAAATTATGTTAATCAGAAAGAATTAAGCAATTTAGTATACACTCTGAGTTGATGTAAATAGTTTATGATCTATCTGGTTCTTAAATGTTAAAACTAACTCCCAATCTTTCCACCCAAACATCACAAAGAAGAATATTTGGGGGAAGTCAATGATAAATTTATATGTAATTAATGAGAAAATGAGACATATTAACATTTTGTATATTTCTCCCTTATCACAGAACATGGATGTAGTGAAAAAGCAACGGAACAAATGGATGTGTATAGTTTTGGAGTTGTGCTACTAGAGCTCATAACTGGAAGGAAAGCAGAGCAGCAAGAGTCAAGTGAGGCTCCTGATGTCGTAAAGTGGGTGAGGAGGAAAATTAACATGACGAATGGATCATTGCAAGTACTGGACGCAAAAATCTCTGCCTCTTCACAAGAAGAAATGTTACAGGCATTAGAGCTTGCTCTTCGATGTACTTCACTTATGCCAGAAAACAGACCGATGATTGAAGAGGTTGTTCGATTACTGGAGGCTCTTAATTCGTCTTGAACGCTCCTAGAATATACTCTGGTTTGTTATCTGTAGTGAGAGTTCTAACTATATTTTTCTTGCGTTAGAACCTCTATTCTGGAGACTGTTTATGGCAGAAAATAGAAGTGTTACCTGGTCCTCAGTATTTATATGCAACAAATATCATTCGCTGATTTCAGCTCGTTTAATGGTTTAAAAGGCGATATGTCCTCTCCATATAGATGGTTTGTAAACAGTCATTGTTACAGGTTATACTCACTTAGAAGTTAGGCCTCGGTTTTTTTATTTCTAAGGCTTTATTTGAAGACCATAGTGTTTGCCTTAAAGTGTATTTTTTCCTTAAAGTGTTTTCAAAACACCATGTTGAGAGTGTTTTTCTTCAACATTAGTTTGACCTATTATAATATTAGTATTAAATATATTATTAATATATATTACACTTTAATTATAATAAGATATATTATAAGTAAAATATTATAATATTTAGTTTATTTTATAATATTATTATA